GCATTACTTTAGACAATTGGTGATTTTCCTGTATATGGTATGCTCTCAGGTTGGAATACTTTCAAAAAGTTAACTTGTACACATTATATGGAATATACAAATCATTCACTTTAAAGCATGGGAGGGAAGAACCCTTGGTTCGACTATCATCACATGTTATCTCCTATAGGTCATCCTTTCAGGAAAAATAAGGATGCTTTTGTTAAAAATAAAATGGTGATATCGTAACCTCCTCCTAGATTAAGTAGTGAAGAAATATTTGAAAGAGTAAGGCCCATGTCTACAACAGACGATACCCTAACAATAGTCGATTACAATTTTGTAGGGTATGGTGTAAACCATAATTGGACTAAAAAAAGTAATTTTTGATCATTATCATATTGGAGTATAAACCTGATCAGACATAACTTAGATGTGATGCATATAAAAAAAAAATTTGATAATATATTCAATACAGTTATGGACATCAAAGATAAATCTAAAGATAATATAAAAGCATGGATGTAGTTAAAGGAGATTTGTAGAAGAAAAACATTAGAATTGAATGATAGTGGAAATAAAAATTTTCTCAAACTAAAAGCTCCTTTCACCTAAACTTTAAAGCATGGGCAAGCAATTTGTATATTTCATTTTATGTAAACTTGAGAAAATATTTTCTACTTCTTTTTTTTTTTTACTTAATGGAGTATCTACCCATGCATTTACCATATGAGGCAATAGTAGGTGGACTTGTTCAATATCAGTGGATGTATCCTTTTGAGAGGTATTTAAATAAATTTAAGAAGACAGCTAAAAATAAATCACATCCTGAAGGCTCAATATTCAAAGTATATTTAATATATGAGACAACTCAATTTTGCTCGTATTATTTTGAAATAGCGTCACAATCAAGCTAGAGCATTACACCTCAAAATGTGGATAAATCCTCAAATTTATCTATATTCAACGGAAGAGGTAAACCCGTAGGCACTAATACTGTGTGCTATCTGACTAATAAGGAGGTACAAGTTGCAATATTGTATGTCTTGCTTAACTCTGATGAAGTTGAGTCATACTCTAGTAAGTATGACTTAGCTTGCTCATAAATTTGCTACTTATAAATTCGATCTAAACCTTAATGTTTATAAGATTTTCATTTATGGTTTGAATATAACAGAACTAATCGAAGTCCAAAAGATATTGAAACAAAATTCCCTAATTAGTTTAAAATACAATACATATTTTATAGGAGGAGTATACACGACTTTGAGAGAGCCAAACTATAGCAGGTAAAGATTCTTCTAATGGATCAGCATAATATTCTAAGTATCATACTTGGTCATAAGAAGTAGGAGTAATGCAATATGACAGAATATACGATTTAGGCTTGCAAGCGTATGCATACAAGGGGCTGACATTTGTTGTCTCCAGCTTCTCCGTAAATACCCAGATGTCTTTATATAGCCAATAAGTAGCTACCCTTACAATGGAGCTTGAGCAGATCATGAAAGTACAAGATGACTGGCAGATGGAGATGCAATAATAGATGGAGATGCAACAACAGATGGAGAAGTTTCAAACTATTAGAAGAAATGCAAAAGATGAGGGAGAAGTTCAGTGGGAAGTATACAACATCTGCAGCTGCGGAGACTGAATCAAAGTAGATGTTATTTATTTTAATGACGTGGATATTTGTAATTATTTATTTTTTGACACGTTTACTTATTTATTTTTTGGATAACTGCACTTGTTTGTTATTGAATATTTTTTGATGATATTATTCTTATTTTTATTATTTTGTATATGTTTATGTTCAATATTTGGTGATGTTCTTAATTAGAGGTGGATGTTTGAATGGATTTAGTAATACATTTTTTCTATGGTTGTATTGTGGAAATAAGATTCAAAAGTGAGGAGGTTGTTTTTTTTATTTATGCTAAAGGTTTCCGGCAGAATTTAATTTTCACTACGATATAACGAAAATAAAGTGACGTTTCTGACGTAAATGTACGTTGGAATTTCTGGCGGCTAGTCCGTCGGTATTTCCACCGATAACAGTGCGTCGGACTATGGCAGCTAGTTATCCACTGATATACCAGCATATAGTATCCGCCGGAACTACCGGCATAGAAAACGCCGTAATACGTTGATGGAAAAGACGCAGGTTTCCCATAATTTTTTGCGCTGGAATTTCCCGAGAAACACCGCCGAAAATATTTCCTACGGAAATTTTTTGCGGGCTTATATTTTCTGACGTGTGAATTACCGTCGTATCATTTTTCACTTGAAAATTTTTGGAAAATGGGAATTTCGGCGGATTTCTAGTGTTACCAACGGATTTTGTTCGCCAGTAACAGAACATTTTCCTTTACTGTTTAGAAGGGATTTGTAAAAATAATTTATTTAATTATTTAGTTTAGTAAAATATATTTTTAAAGCTCTAATATTGTTCTAATCAAGCTTCTTAGTCGAGCCCTAATCAAGCTTGTTCACGAGTTTTAAACAATACTCTTCACGATCATAAATGAACCGAATGCTAAGTTTTTCAAGCTCGTTTATTTAGCTATCAAGTATTTATCAAAATTGTTCAAGGTTATTCGTTTATCTTATCAAATGAACATGAATGATCTCTTATCAAGCCAAACCACGAGTAGCTCGTCGAACGCTCGGTTCATTTGCATCCCTAGCTGGTTGAGGTAGTTAGTAACGTTTATAGAAACTTTTGATATAGCCTGAGGAGGAGGCAAGTGGGATGATATCATAGGAAGAGAGGGCTTTAGGTCGGGTGATCAGAACTAGTTAAACTGAGGTTCCTGTAGATAAGCACCTTCATGCTGCTTAGTTTGGTGAGAATGGTGAACAAGAAGAGTGCGAGTGACTAGGATACAATCCAAAACATGTAGTGAGTGCCAACCTACTTGGAGAATCCTTGATCTACCTTGTATAAGGCGAACTTCTCGGGAGGCCCAGACAAGTGATGCCTACTAAACATGACATGAGAATTCTTACACAGATTTCAAACAAGTTGTCGAGTGGGTCCATCTGAAAGGGTGAGTTCCTCAGTTGTCGAGTGGGTCCATCTGAAAGGGTGAGTTCCTCAGTTGTGATCCGCCAGCTCCCTATTAAACGCCTGTAAAGCCATAAGTGAGGGTACACCTTGGATGAATAACCCATGATTGCTTGTATGAATCCTTAGATTAATGATAGAAATGCAAGCGCAAGAGTGATAATATTAATATATCTTTAAGCAATATAGTGAGGTTTTATCTAAAGTCATCGCAACACATTTTCAAAGTAAAATTTAATGTAGAGCCTAAAAACTACCATTAGTCAAATGTTCTCTCTTAGTATTGTGGGAGATAATTAATCATAAATGCTTGCTTTTATAAAAAGGGTGGAATAAGAATATTTAAGTCTCTTGTGAATAGTAAATCTCTTCGTAATTCTCTATGTACTATTATGCTTCCAAAAGCCTTTTTTATTCGTATCATCATCGTGCAAAGAGGTGAAGCTTATAATATACTAAAGAGAGGCCTAACTGTGTCCTTTCACGAACCTACAAATTAACATATAAGAGAACACATGCAAAAGAACTTCCTCATCAGTGTTTCTTTGGGGGGAAACTCATCAGTGTTTTCGACCGTAATATATATAAAATAGATTGTTCATTGTTTACTGTTTTTATATAGAAAGCTTCAGTATAAACGACAGGTCCTTAATTTTTTAACATTTGTTTAGAAATTCGAAGTCAATGGGATTTTTATTTTTATTTTTTAATTTAACCTGCAGCACCTTTCTATTAATAATCTGATCAATAATTAACTTATGAACTTTATTTTTGTGCTGATCTCACACTTTAGTGGAATCCAATAAGGTATTTTCACGAGTTGACTTCAGTAGATCCAAACAATGAACTGTAGGCCAGCAATTATCAAAATCTCACAATGCAAGCTACAGCTTATTAAATTTTCATTATCAAAGTTATTAACTTGGCGAAGTCTTCAGTTTATTAGATTAGATAATATTTAAAGCCATCCTTAACGAAAATGTTTTTGACCATTTTATGTATCTTTTGCTATATCTAATGAGGGCTTCCTCATTCACAGGTTCTTAAAATAAATACCATCCAAATAAGAAAGGTTTTTGAAACAGATCAAACATTTTGAATCTGATTCAACTCAGCTTTTCGGAATGAATTTTGTTTTTTTTGGACTTTTGAGCGAATTAAATGCAAACTCATTCATGGATTGCAGAAATATGCTTTGAATCTAAGACCAGTAGGATGATGGCTTAAGCTCCCAACAAACAGTACAAATGGGCTGTATCAACCAATTATTCAACAGACTGACTTGCGTAAACAAACCAGTATAATGGCTTAGGATAATTTTAGTTAATCCAAACTGAGCCCAAATAGGCAAAACATTTGAGATATTCTGAATCCTTCTGAAACGTCACTCATCTTGGTATGTTGGTCGGGAGTTTTGGTTATCAATCAAGAAGTCTCAGGTTCGAATCTCGTGTATATGATGGGTGTGTATGTTGGCCTTAATTTGACTAGATGTTCCAAAAAAAAAAATCCTTCTGAAGTATTATAGTTTCTATTCTTCAGCTCCTTTCATGAAATTTGTTACAGGATGCCTAGTATAAGGAGGAGCCCTGTATCTTCTGTTGGAAGTGATGGAATTCAGAAATGAAATTATTTATCTCCCCGATATCAATTAGATCGAATCCTTTCTTGCTTCCGAGGCTGATTTGAGAACCCCGAAATTGTTCTCAATTGTCGATTCCTGAGTAAAACATTGACATTCTTCTAACTGTTCAAGCACAGCCGTGATGAGCTAACGTGAAAAAGTACCAATCATTATTGGAATCGAACTCATTTCAAGATTAGAAACAATTTCTTATTTTATTTTCAAATACAGCCATCAAATCAAATTTGTTTGGATCAATAAATCTGATAATTGCATAAAATGTAGATATCATTATAACTAGAGAAACGAAGAGAGTGAGAGATTAACAAACATTCTTTTCTTTTGTAAAAACAATGATAAGAATTCAGTGTAGATTGGTAATAAATTTGGAAGTGTAAAGGATTACAAAAAATCTGATAAATATTTTCAACAGTTGTAAATAAATATTGGTAGCCTGACTACCAAAACATATCTAAGGCCATATTTTACCAAAAGCTTCAGCTCCATAACCAAACGTGGCCAGAAAAATACTTCTATCAGCTCAACTTTTCATTTCCTCTCACCGGCATCGGAGAAGGCGTTGGACCTTGCATTCCTTCATCTTCGGTTTTGTTCGTCTTCAAGCAGCCTTTGTCTGTGGATCTTATCATTCTTCTTGCCACCATTACCCTGCTTCCTTCCTCTATTAACAGAAGTTACAGTGACAACGTTATACAAATGAATACATAATAAGAAACAGAGAAGAAGGCCATAAGGTATGTATGCCTCATCTTTCTTTGTTTAATACCTTTAGGAGCCAAATTGGATTTTTCAGATGCCGACCATATAACCAGAGTTGGAGTGATGATTGCGAGCAGAGCCCAGAAAATAAAGATGAGAACATAGCCTCTCTGTGGCATCTCTCTCTCTCTCTCTCTCTCTCTCTCTCTCTCTCTCTCCTTATGGGAAGGTAGCTCCAAAGGGAAGGTTAAAAGAGTAGATGGTGGAGAAGACCTGAGAGGAACCTCGCTGGCAGAATGGACGATAGAACAAAGTATAGGAGAGATTCCTTCTAATTTCTTGTACAACTTTTGCACTTAACCACACGACTCGGTTGCATGAATATCTTAATTATAATGAACACTATCTATATGAATATGCTTGCTTTTAAATTAAGCCATGGCTGAGCTGGATACAATGAGGAAACAAGTAGTTCGTCTCATGTTCTTTTTTTCATTTTTTTAATTTGCAACGTTTAAAATTTATACGATGAAAAACAAGATGTTTTGCCAATATGCAAGAAAACAGGTCAGTTGTCGAATTATTTTTTTTTTTCTGGAACTAATATTTAAGCCGACAAAATTCCAAAACCAATATGCATCGCATGAAACAGAGGAGAAATAGTAATTCTTTCGAATTTACGGTGTGCTTATTGTAGAGAGAAGAAGCCTTTAACCTGTAGAAAAATACAGTAACAGTAACAAGGTAGAAGACAGAGTTGGCTAAAGCATTTGGTATCTCTTTACATTCCTGAGGATATCAGTCTTAGTTACAGGATGTGATATATATACAAATGAACGGTGATGATATAATCAACCAAAAGATGAAACGTTGATGTCAGAAGAAGTGGCGCCTAGAGCCAGAACGTTGGCTACAGACTTTTGGTCGTTTCATTTGTATATGTAAATATGCCCCCACAAGCTCATGGTAGAGAAGAGATCGTTAACTTGTCACGAAGAGAAATGAATCTTAGTTTAAACAACACTTTAATAAAAATATCTGCAATCTGATCCAGGGAGTTTATATGATGAACTGTGATAGATTGAGATGTAATATAGTCTCGGATTAAGTGATAGCCCACTTCAATATGTTTTTGTACGGGTATGTAAAATAGGATTATGAGCAAGAGCGCCAATGGCATATACATTGTCACAATATAATGGAGTAGAAGAATCAAGAGGAAAACCAAATTCAAGAGCAAGAAGATGAATCCAGGTTATATCAGTAGCAACGGTTGCAAGGGCACGATACCCAGCTTCTATAGAAGAACAAGCCCGTTGGCTGTTTTTTCTCACACTATGATATATGAGTGTCACCAAGAAAGATGCAAAAACCGGTGAAAGATCTGTGATCAATGGAGTCACCAGCCCAATGTGAATCAGAATAGGCGACTAAGGTAGATGATGAAGAGTTTGTTAGTAAACCAAGATGTTTGGTGCCTTGAATGTGTCAATTTAAATGTTTAAGAGACTGGAAATGCTTCAACAACAGTTTATGCATGAACTAACATAGTTTATTCATGTCGAATGAAATGTCAGGTCAAGTGATAGTCAAATATTAAAATGATCCAACCAAATGGCGATATGACTCAGGATTATCAAAGGAGTTGATTGCAACATCTGAAATAGTTTTGAAGGGAAATATGGTGACAACTGGTTTTCAATTCTCAAAGCCTGACCTACGAATGAGTTCTGCAACATAGTGATGAAGTAGAAAATCTGTAGTAGTAACCACCGCCTATAAGCCAAGAAATTGATTTAAGTTTCCCAAGCTTGCGAAGCTGGAAATGTATTTTAAGATTTGAGAGTAATTATGTAATATGAGAGGGGTTATTGCTAGTAACAAGCAAATCATCTACATACACCAAAAAATAGATTTAAACAAAATTTTGGTGATAGATTAACAAAGAAGCATCAACTGCATTGTGCCGAAAGCCATGTGGTTGTAGTGAGATGTAAGCTTCGCAAACCACTAACGAGGTGATTGTTTAAGTCCATATATAGCCTTCCAAATAAGGCAACCCAAATCAAAAAATTGAGGATCTTTATAGCCTAGAGGTTGCTGCATGTAACTATTTCATTTAAATCTCCTTGTAAAAAAGCATTTGAAACATCAAGTTGTATGATGGACACTTTCGATGGACTGTAATAGTTATAAAAAGGTGAACATTTGGCATCTTGGCAATTCTTTGATTTGTGGAGAGTGATAATCAAGTAACCTCTCTGATTATAACCCTAAGTAATCTATCTGATTTTTCCTTAGGAGTGATAATTAAGGGAAATAAGAGAAGTAGTAGATACATTCCATTAGAGTGTTTTGCTTGTATTTGTGGAAGCAATTCTGTAAGTTCAACGAGGAGTGTAGAGGAGATTATGGAACCCATATGGTTATATCTTTTCTTCTATACTTTCTTTCTTTTGTTCAATTTATGAAAATGAATATATTTCACTTGTTCTTCATGTTTGACTAAATTCTCTAGTTTTGGATTGATGATGTAAATGAAATATGAACTACTAATGAGTTCTCTTCATCTATAATTTCATGATATTTTCAACATACCAGGTTTTCATTTAATGCACATAGTGGCCATATGTGTAGTTAATATCAAGTGTAATGTGGAGCCTAGGAATAGGAAAGGAAGCAAAACCAGTTATGTTGGATGTAATGTATCAAATTTAAAGAGATGAATTATCATGAGGGTGTTTTAAAACACATGTTTTACTCAGTCTTCTAAGATTTTCATAAAGTGACAAACTATGGGAGTTCAGAGTGGTAATGGGGTTGGAAGATTTTTATATGTCCTTTGTCTCTTCATGCTTGACTGAATGGTCGGTAATATATATGCTTTGAATAACATCAAAATAAAAGAGAATTATTCAGAAATATATTATATTTACAATCCATCAATCAAAAATAATTTATCCAAATAGTTTTTTATTTAATTATTTTTTATTTTAAACTAAGTGATTGAATCTCTTCCCAAACTTATTTTAATTGAGTAGGATAATTGTTGTAGTTGAATTAGACAGTACTAGTATTTGCAAGTAAACATTTTTTTTCGTGGGATTGATACTCTACTCAATCACTATATTACTTGATTCGACAAGCATACTTGTGTTTATTAAGTGAGATTTTTATAATTTTATATGAAATAAAACCTAAGCATTGTTTAGGAATTGATAGAGCTCTAAATTATTTTACAATTATTTAGGTTACCCCACCGCACCCATTAAGTTTTTGACACTGTTGCAGGGAATGAATTTGTTTATATGCAAATTTGCTATATTATTGAATTAATTATATAATTAGAGCTATTCATACTTTATTAATTATATATCTATATTGCAATTTATGTTGTTGTTATTTACATTGAATTGCATTTTGTATTAATAGATAAGTCATTAGTCATGATTGCAGCGCTTGCCTTGTTTTTAATAGGGTTCCATAAATAGAAAATTATCAGGTTTAATAATGATTTTCATTTTAGGCGCATATGTATGAAGCTCTTATGGTAGATGTATGTGCAAGGTCAGAGGTCAAAGGGCCATTGTGATGCACAGTACAACTCACTGGGCAGGTTGATTGTAGATCATAGTTTTAAACTGGTTTAGGGGTATTTAAAATTTTTTTAGGAGCTTGGGTTTCAATGGATAGGTCTAGGGCATCTAAACTATTCATCAAATCTAAAACAAGATGATGTGTTCCAAGATTTAGGGTATGAATGACCTTTAGCTATTTCTTTAAAAGAGATCACTGCTAGGAAAAAAAATAACTAACTAAATTGTTAATATTGTGAACGCTGAATTTTACGGTTACAAATATTTCTCTTTAGAAGTTTTAAACATGTTAAAGAGGTTTTAGTACCAAGCATGATTTGTCAGAGTTTTTGTCTCTGATGCTTAGTTGCAGAATTCTTTTATGGAGGGGAGAGTGAAAAGGAAGCTACTTCAACTAGCCATAATGAATCATGTTTCGGCACATCACAGACCTCGCCGGCGTCAGACAGAGCTTCCTGATCACTTCACATTTGTCTCCACTATCCTCTGCCAGTTTAAACTTTATGTAACAGTCAAGGGTAGTGCTATAGTAAAATACTACTACATAGTTTAATTATATAAACTCATGTAATGCCATTTATTCAAGTAATTTGAAATCCCAGTTTTACTGTTAATCTTCTCTTCACTGAAACCTTAATGTCGCTCGCTAGGCTCTTTAGTTTCATCATGGTATCAGAGCTTTTTGCTTAACAGCTTCTCTTCTCCATGGGCGACTCAACCGCTTCCGCTCCCAGCACGCCTCCTGCTGCCGCTCTCACCTCCAATGCTCCCGCGACGTCTACAAACGTCGTAATTCCTTCTACACTCAAATTTCTTTTAGCCAACATCAAGAACATTATCATCGTTCAGCTCCTTCCAGAAAATTATCCTACATGGCGGTCAGCTATCTACAAACTGTTCGCAGCAAACCATTTCTCTGGTTATCTTGATGGCACTATCCTTCCTCCACCTAAACACCTTCTTACAGCCACGGGCCAACTCACTCTCAACCCGCAATACTCTACCTGGACCTTAATAGACTGTCGCCCTCCTATCATTCCTTCAAAACCACTATTCGGAGCTCTTTACACCCCATCTCTCTGGACGATTTGTATTCCCTTCTCCGCAGCGAAGAGGTTCATCAGACTACGGATGCTCTTCGGGAGCTTTCTTTTTCAAATCTATCCCACACCAAGGGACATCTTGCTATGTTTTCACCTCGCGGAAGATCGCGTGGACGCTCCTCATCCAACCGTGGTTGTGGTCATTTCACTCCCAACAATATTAATAGAGCTTCATCCCATACTCTCCGGTTTGATGGTGATTTCCAAATCTGCGGCAAGCGTGGCCACTCAGCTAATAACTGCTAGCGCCGTGGCAACTTCAGTTACACTCCGCCCTCCAACTCAAGTGTCTCCTTGGTTGTAGAACCCGAATCATCTCCATGGTACTTAGACAGTGGAGCTTCTGCTCATCTCACTCCGGATCCTCTTCCGATTCAGCAGCCAACTCCCTACTCTGGCCGAGATCAAGTCTTTGTTGGCAATGGTAATTCTCTTCCTATACAGCATGTGGGCAATGGTCTCCTTCCGATGCCTACTCATAAGCTTTGGATCAATCCTCTTT